TGCCCTGGAGGTGACCACATGGCGTGGCAGACCTCTCCTGACCCGCCTGCTGCTCCCCTCAGCTGTGTACTTCGTGGATCTGCCTGTTCTGTACCCCACTCTGTCCCTGGTGAATCCTCTCACCCTCCTCATCTCTGACCTGTACCCCAGTTCTGTAAGAATAAATAAATAAATCTTAAAAAAAAAAAACAGAGCTGTTGTGAAATACAAAATAATTAAAGATTGTCTTGTATTTTGTAGTTTAATAAAGACCAAAAACATTTATTTTTAGTAATTTATTAATTAATTTCTTATGCCATCATCAATTTTGGGACAATATTTGGTTTCTTTCTTTGGGTGTGCCCCCTGTATTTCTCCCATTATTGCAGCACAGTTGATCCATATCTATATCATTCCTTATTCTACGTCCATATCTATATCATTCCTTATTTTCTTCCTTCCCCTGTTTTAATTCCTCTCCATCCTCCTCCCCTGCTTTTTGCCTCATATCTGTGGATAGTTAATAATCTTGTCTTTTCCTAACCTTGTGTTCAGTTTCTCTATAGTCCGTATATAATGACTAATTAAGTGAAGTCATAAATTAGATTTATCTTTTCCAACCTCACTTATTTTGAGTATCATAATCCCTTTCAGCTCCATCCTTGCTGCTATAAATGTCAATATTTTATCTTTTTTATTTTCTTTTATTGCTGAGATATATTCCATTGTGTGTGTATGCAAAGACGTTTTGATCTACTTGTCTGTCTTGGGCCATTTATATTGTTTCCATATCTTAACTGTTGTAAATAGTGCTCCGGTAGACAAAGGATTGCAGGTTTCATTTTGAATTAGTGTTTTAGTTTCTTTTTGTTAGATTCTTAGTGAAAGCACTGGAACATATGGCAGATCTACTTTCAGTGTTATGAGGAACCTTTGTAAATCTTCCCATAGCGACGGGAATAGTTTACATTCCCACCACAAGTGTAAGAGGAGATAAAATGTTAATAAATTGTTTGTCTCCTTTGCTGTAAGAATTAATTGACTCAATTTGGTGTATTTATTCTAAGACAAGGATGCAAATTTACAAACCTCAAATTTTAAAACCTGGGAAATTATATATATATAGCTCTTCACTGATGCATATCTTGAAATCCTAAAATAAGTGCTTCCATTTTTTCTTACCTGGGCCCAGCAGGATCAACTTTGAATTTGACTAAAATTCCCCAAACTTAAAAAAAGTGAGTCTTACAAGTTTGCTTCCCTGTCTTGGAATCCCTGAATATTACCTATTGGTATATTGAGTCAATTCATTCTAATAGCAAAGAAGACCCTATTGACTATTGTCATTTTTTTTTTCTCTAGTTCATTTTATTAAGATAAAATAAAGTGTTATAAGAAACTTATTCAAGTTTCATGACAGTTTTCTTTGTGATTGGTACATAGCAGTATGATTCAGCTATTTCTCTGTATATTTTCATACAAACATATGAAGTTGTTTTGTTATAAGTTATAATCCCCTTACATTTTATTAAAATTATCTATAAATACTTCAAATAATCTTCTGAAAAGCCTTGTGTAAACAACAATCTGCAGCCAATATTCAGAGTTTCTGGATGTATTATATCAAAATCTACAAAGAATTTTCACAGCAAACTGACCCATCTAGTTGATGGACACCTGTCAATTTATAATTATAATCTCTTCCTTTACATACATTAAAATATGTAATTTCACTATTTGCTAATAAATCTATTGAAGAAAACAAGTGGAAACCAACCTATCTTAAAATAAGTCCATTAAG